GCCCAACAGCCCCAACTCCCTCAGCCTGTCCTCATAGGGAGATGCTCCAGTGCTCTTAGCAACTTGGTGGCCTCCTCTGCACTTGCTCCAACAGTTCTATGTCTTTCTCATGTTGAGGGCACTAGAACTGTGTGCAGTATTCCAAGTGGGATCTCACAAGAGCAGAGTAGAGGGGAAGAATCACCTCCCTTGACCTGCTGCCCACACTCCTTTGGATGCAGCCCAGGCCTGGGTTGGTTTCTGGGCTGAGCTCACACTGCAGCTCATGATGAACTTCTCATCCTCTGTCATTTAATGTCTTGTATAGTTTTTATTGACATGTTTTTATTCATTCCAGACTTACTATGCTGTTCAAGATACAAAGGCATTTCACAATGAGCAAGAAATCGATGCACTACATGCTACCATTGAATGTGAACAACCTCAGCCTGACCTTTATAAGTAAGAGAGAATTCTTGCCTGTTTCATATAAGGTTCTCTAGCAAGAAAGTATAAAAATATGGCAATGAAAAGGTACTGGCTGCATCTGTCTGGTCAGAGTGTGCCCCTGAGTGGCCTTGAAGCCTTGTTGGTCTTCCAGCCATACTCCTTTCCTGCAGGTTGTTCCCTAGGTCTACTCTAGGGTTGTGGTCTCCAAATGAGGATGCACAGTGATCCACTGGGGAGTGTGACAATAATTTAAGTGCTTCACTTTCTTTTTAAATATAAAAATAAGAAAGAAATAAAGATTTACTAGTATTTAAGATGTTTCTTGATGTTGGCACCCTTACCTAGTCTGCATGTCCTAGAGTCATGGTATCACAGTACGTTAAGGGGTTGGAATGGAGCTTACAGATCATCCAGCCTCAACCACCTGCCCTGGGCAGGGACACCTCCCACCACACCAGGTTGCTCAAGGCTTCATCCAACCTGGCTGTGAACACTGCCAGGGTTAGGGCAGCCACAGCCTCCCTGGGCAACCTGTGCCAGTGTCTCACTTCCCTTAGTAAAATATTTCTTCCCAATATCTAATCTACATATCCCCTTTTTCAATTTATCCCCATTGCTCCTTGTCCTGTCCCTGCAGCTCCTAACACAGAGTCCCTCTGCAGCTTCCCTGGAGCCCCTTCAGCTCCTGGAAGGTGCTCTGAGGTCTCCACACAACCTTCTCTTCTCCAGGCTGAGCAGCCCCAATTCCCTCAGCCTGTCCTCAGAGGGGAGATGCTTTGGGTTGATTTTAATTCAATTGTAAGCTTGAGATGTTGTAAAAGGATAATGACTACACTGACTTATCTCGGGTAGCTTAGGGAATAAGACTTCATGTTATGGTTCTACTAAGAGATTTGCACCTTATTTTATAATCACTTCTGTATTTTGATATGCAAACTTTACATTGATTTACTGTTCTGTGTATTTTTGTATGGACATGTTTTAAATATGTATCCATATGTATCTCTATGTTCTTATTGATATTCTGGGTAACCAGATCTTGTTCACCTGGAATCCACTCACTGTGAGGAGTACTTTCTAGACAAAATTTCTCAACTGACCTATGAGCAGTGATGTTGAACGATTTGTGTTTCTCTTTCAGATTTGTTGGTCGAATAAATGTTTACCATGATAGGAATGAGCCTATTGCAAGGTAGGAAAATCCAGAGTTTCTACACCTTTAAACACTTCCATGGTTGAATACTTTAAATCAGAGAATCATCAAGGCTGGAAGAGCCCTCTAAGGTCATTGAGTCTAACCGTTATCCTGCCAATCTGCTGTAGAGAGTTAATAATGAGTTACCAATGTTCACCAACATTGTGTTGCCTCGTATTAGTGCTAGAATCTCAGTGGGTTCTGCTCTGCCCATCCCTCCAACCTGTTGAGGTCCCTCTGAAGGGCAGCACAGCCCTCTGAGCAATCACCACTCCTCCTAGTAGAGTTTGAAGCTGCCTGGAGTATCCCAACTGCATGGTTACCCTTACATTAATTTCCTTACCTATATTTGTTGGCCTGGTTTGAGATGCATACAGCAAATATTAACAATACCTTGTATGCCATTTATACTCATGGTAAAATGGCAGGATGTATTGTGCTTAATGAGTCGTGTAGAACAGCATAGTTATAGAAACCCAAAAAAGACTTGAATCAGTATATTTAAAAATAAGCATTTTCCAATTAGGATGAGGAGTCTTCATTTAGGTACCTACATGTGTGTGGTTTAGGTGCATTGATGTCAGGCTTGATTTGTGACATTTTTGGCTTAATTTTAGGCCTCTCATTATATCGTTTTAATTTTCGCTTAAATGCTTTACATATGCTTAGTAATTTTGTTAAATAAAAGTATTTCAGTAAAATTCATTACCCATTTCACACGACTTCTATAAAGTCTAATGTTTTTCTATAGATGTTTATGTTTTAAAACACTTCTCTTTCACAGGCCATTAGGATCTGAAAATCTGCTTCTTAGAGGAGCCACTTTAAAGAACACAGAAAAAATCTTTGGTAAATATTTCTAGTCACTCTTTGAATGGACCCTGAAGTAGTAAGCAAACATCAAAAAGGTTCCAAACCTACAGTTGCTACTGAGCAGATTATTTCTATTAAGTCACTTGATTTACCACTTTTGAATAGTGTTTCCTGTTACTATAATTGCAGCAAAGTAACTGTTAATGATGTACAATGATTGCAGAGGTCTAGAGGAGAAGGTTTTATAGTTTTGTCTTGAAGGATCAGTGAACACGGTGCAATTTCATAGAGTCATTGAACAATCAAGGTTGGAGGAGACCTCTAAGACCATTCAATCCAACCATTAACCTGTCACAGCTGGAACCCCTAAACCCTAAACCAGATCCTCCAGTGCCACATCCAGACGCCTCTTCAACACCTCCAGGGATGGTGACTCCACCACCTCCATGGGCAATATCCCAGTGCCTCAACACCACAACAGGGAAAACATTTCTCCTCACATCCAATCTGACTCTGCCCTGGCTCAGCTCAAGGCCATTCCCTCTAGTCCTCTCCCTGCAGCCATGGCAGGACACACATCCCCCACCTCTCTCCAACCCTGGCAGGGAGTTGCAGACAGCCACGAGGTCACCCCTGAGCCTCTTCTCCAGGCTAAACAAACCCAACTCCCTCAGCCCTTCCTCATCCCACAGGTTTTCCAACCCTTTGCTGCCCTCGTTGCCCTTGGCTGGACTCGCTCCAGTGCCTCCTTGTCCTTTTTACAGTGAGTGCCCAAAAGCTCTCTCTTATACTTCACAGGGGAATTTTTTCAAATCTCAGCTTTGGTTTGGATTTGATCCATAGCAACATGTTAGCATTTGGGAACTGTAACTGAAATGGGTTGTAAATGCTGCTTAAAATCTCCCTCTAAGACCCAAGATATTAAATCCGTTTTTAATTTTGGGTTATCGTCCAAATCTTGTTCTTTTTCTGCACACTAAAGAAAACTAAAGGCATTTTTGTTAGAGTATAATAATCCACGAGTTTTGCTTTCCTGAAGTTATTGCACTGTACAGTCCTTAGTAAAACAAGTTGTCTAATTTCAGGTGTTGCTATCTACACTGGCATGGAAACTAAGATGGCATTAAATTACCAGGCCAAATCACAGAAGAGATCTGCTGTAGAAAAGTAAAGTTTCTGCTACATTTTGGGGAGGGGGTGAAAACTGCATGTTTCATTGGTGAAAATGGGAATATTTTGTCTCTAAAAGTGCATATTTCATAGAATTTGAATCATAGAATTTAAGGGTTGTAATGGACCTTACAGGTCATCCAGTCCTAATATTGATTTAAATTGAAAAAGAGGACATAGAATTTTGCTTCTTTTAAAATGATTTTTTACTTATCAGTCATTTAGCACCTTATAAATTAGTTCTCAATGCTAATTATTATTAATTGTAGATGTTTAAAAAATAAAGCCACTTTAATATTGTGATTAACCTTTTAAGATATTGTGTTTTACTGTTCGAGAAGACTTTTCTTTCACTGGTTGCAGTACACCTCCTGAGAGTTTTCCAAGGTTATTGTGTCATTGTCGTGACATTTCTTTTCATTGCAATGAAGTCTTGAATTCAGTAAAAATAACTTTTCTAATGCATTTTGGTTTAGATCAGCTACAGTAACATACTGTTGTCTGTGGCATTTTTCCATGGTTTAGCGAAAATTAACAAATTCCATACAGACATATCTGATGGGAAAGTAA